TATATTCTGAAGAGTGCTTTTATTTTTCTGCTTTTAAGTTCAAAGTTAAGACAAAACTAAGACGTTGCTTGTTTTCCTCATTGTTTTCCTTAGAAAGAGGTTACTTCTAAAAATAATTTGCGATTGGTCTGAGATCGTCTTTAAATGCTAGTAGCAGACTTTCATTCAGTGTGTCTCTATCCTCACAGACCTTTTGTAAAAAAAAAAAAAGGAAAATAGGAAAAAAGTACTATTGAGATTTCAAGACAGCATTTTTTACTAACAAATGAGTATCTACCACAGTGACTCCATTTTATTCATTTAGCCCCTTCCTATTCTCGTCATAAAGCACTTCCAGATCCAGACTATAGAATGTACCACGTTTCTGATTAAGACTATGATAAAAATACTGCTTGTCAGTTTAAGATGAGATGTATCTCTCAGTTGAAATTGAGAAGAATTTACTGCAAGATGATTTATTTGCAAGATTTACTGCAAGATTCGTTTGCAAAATGTCCTTACTGAAGCTGACTTCTGCCTGAACGTGGGTGTTAACGCATCAGCTAGTATAGAGCGTGTCTTGTTTGCAGCAGCTACCAGTGATCAGGACTTTGGAATGCATCTTCTGTGAATCATTTTCTGGGGAAGATGGTGTCCCTGTGTGCTTTGTTACAAGTGTAGTTCATTGTGAGGGATGGTGTGCTTAAATCATGAAGCTTTCTGTAGTACCTGATGGCTCCTCTTAAGTTTCTTGTTCTCTTCTAGTTTGAGTTTATTTGGCTAAAAGCTCCGTAGCACAGTATGACAGAGGCAAGATACCTGCAATCTTTCTGAAGTTTTAATACATAAAAAAGAAGGTCAAACAGTGGTAATTGATGCTGCATATCTCTGTTAGAGTTTAATATCCCAGTAAGCGGGAGGACCATTTATCTCCTCTTTACCTGCAAAGAGAAATAATGTGGAGAGCACAAAAATATTAACAGAAGTTTGGTCTGTTTTGACTCAAGCCTTGATTAATGAACAAATAGTTGCTGTTATGTAAAGGCTTTCCAATGACAAAATATTTTGAGTATGAGATAGGGATATAGATGTGCCAAAAGAACTTCCAAGTTAATACCAAGTACTAGTATATCACACAGAGCAGTGGAAGCAGAAATGTCAGGGGTGAATTGATATGCAGTTTATAATTCAGGCTAACTGGTTAAATTCCTTAGTTTAGGATTATATTCTCTAACTTCATTGTGCTTTAGTTTTTTCAGTTGCTCTTTCATAGGGCTTTGGGCTAGCCTCAAATTACATAATTTACTGAGTTGCTGGCTTTTTCATTGTCTTTGTTCTGGGTGATCACATTACAGAATTAATCAGAGATCAAATATTAAACTCTTCTGGGCGTTCATAATGGATGACAATGCAAGAACCCCTCAATTAAAAATCATGAGATTAAAAAACTAATAGACCTTCTACAAAGAATTATTTCTCGAATACAATCAGTATGCTGTTTGTAAAAATTAATGTTTGCTTTTTCAGTGCTCACAACAGATTCAAGTTCACATTTGACTGATTCTCAACATAAACAGGATGTGTTCCTGCTTTCAATATGCAAATTGAAGATGCACACAGTATTTGTGAGTTTGTTGCTGGCTGTCACAGTTCTGGCAGGCTTCATTGAGAACTGAAATTGTTTCTGGAAGGCTGAAGCCATTAGCAAAGAAAATGAGCAAGTATTTTTTTTTTTTTTTTTTTTGATCATGCCTGTCTTTTAGAACTGCACAAAAGCTGCTTAATTTTCTGTGCAGCCTCTTGACTAATACCAGCTTAGTAGCTGAGGGTATTTCATTAGTTACCAGCAGTTACACACTGGTAGTAAATAACTGTAATTTAGATTAAACAAGGTGTTTCATAAGTCAGTTGCAGAACCTGATTAAGTTCTGTTTAATGTGTATTTTTTGGTTAAGAAGAATATACTGGAGACCGCATAACAGCCTGGAGACCTCATAGCAGCCTTCCAGTATCTGAAGGGGGCCTATAAGGGCCTTCCCCTATGTTGGGGAAGGACTCTTCGTTAGGGACTGTAGTGGTAGGACAAGGGGTAATGGGTTTAAACCTAAACAGGGGAAGTTTAGGGTAGGGGTAAGGACAAAGTTCTTCACAGTGAGGGTGGTGAGGCACTGGAATAGGTTGCCCAAGGAAGCTGTGAATGCTTCAACCCTGGAGGTGTTCAAGGCCAGGCTGGACAGAGCCTTGGGCGACATAGTTTGATGTGTGGTGTCCCTGCTTATGGCAGAGGGCTTGGAACTAGATGATCTTAAGGTCCTTTCCAACCCAAACCATTCTATGATTCTATAAAAAGGGGGTGTATAAGTGACAACAAAAAAAGATGTTGAATTCCTTTGAATTACACTTTCCCTTACTCTGCCTGGCTCGCTTTGCTTCCCTGCCTTGCTAGCAAGAAGTATATCTGAAGAAGGTTCATCACCAGCTTGCTCTTACAATGTTAGTCAGGGTGTAGAGTGCAATTTTGGTTGCATTGGAGCCCATCGGCAGTTTTTCTAGGCTTGTATTCCAATTTGGCTCATGGCATGCTTCCAGTACTTTATCAGACATCCATAGTTCACCAGTTCTCTGGAACTGCAAAAGCAATAGGGGTGTTTTGTCTATCCCCTTTATTGTTCTGAAGTAACTCCACAGTTGTGTTTGTCTAATTCACTTTACAGTATTCCTCAGTTCGACATCCGTAATTGTACTATTTGAAGATAGCATTTAGTGTAAACTAAACATGCTTTTTCCTTTATGCTTGCTGTTGTGCCCTCTTTTAAACCAAATCTATAAATGGAAAATTATTTAAAAATCAGGACAACTTTAAAGTATCAAGTTATTTAGAAACGATATGAAGCAGCCCATGCTTTGATAAGACATTAGTTGAAATTAGAAACAGCTTTCTATATCTTTGGCTTTAAATGGTGAGACTATAGTACTGTCCTGTTGGGATTATGCATCTGAATTTGAGAGCAACTGGTGTGTCTGAGACTTGAGTATGTGATGATAATTGGGGAAAACAATACTTCATACATAATACTGATCTTTTTTTCCTAAATGGTTATTTCAGACTTGATGTAGGAATCTTTTCTACTGCTCTTGCACTGGTTTTTGATTTGTAGGACTTTTCTTACATTGATAGAGAACGTGGAAATAACTGTCTTGCAAGAAATAATTGAAAATTATTGGTACTGATGTGAAGGTGGAAGAGGGATCTTTAGCCTCTGTGTGTGTCCACAGCTAAGAAAGGCAGGGATGAAGGCAGTTTAACTTGATAGTGTGGTGTTCTCCAAGCTTTACAATATTCATGAAAGCTTTTACATTAAATTAAACAAAGAGATTTCAAGGATATCTGTGATAAAGTCAAATCTGTATGAGGTCTGGAACGTAGGGAGGCAATACTTAATTTTGGAAAAAGAGCTGAATTGCACTGAAAACGTGGGCCTTCTGCCTTGTTCTCTTTTCCTCATGTGAAATGCTTCTGCAAGGCTGCTTCCTGTTTCCCCAGATCCTAAAGCAAAGTAGCCTCTTTTGGGCTGTGAACACACTTCAGTTAACTGTTTTGGAACTTGAGGAGAATTCAGTTGCAGTATCTCATCAGATACCTTGAGGACCGTTTTTCCTGCTGCTGATGGCTTCAGTGAAGTTAAAAGGAAGTGTAGTTCACAGTGTATTGTGCTGTTGTCAGTGAAAGCTGCTATTTATGCTGTCTTGGTTTGTGGTGAAAGTCTTTACCTTTGAAAGATGACTTTTACTTTCTTTTGATACTTGACTGCTCAAGTATGAACACATAATAGGCACTGCTTTTGTTGAGAGCTTGGAAATAATTACCCATCATTCTGTTTATCCTTTAGTTTCTTAAATTATTTAGGAACTTCAGAACAGCATCTAAATTGCAAAAGGTTTGTAAGGCACTTAAATACAGAAGTCTCATGTACAGTTTGTTTTAATTTTTTTATTTTAAAATTGATTCAAATGTCTCAATATTTGAGCTGTGTGTACAGGCAAATAGTGATGATAAAAAGCATAAAATGAAATGGATGCAGTTCTAATTCTCATGTACATAGTGCATCCTTCTGGGTCAGATCTACTTCAGGCAAGCAGCGCAAAGGTGAGAACATGTGGAATGTATAGTCCTTTTAAAAAGTGCATTAATTTAAATAGTCTGTTTTCTACTGCTAAATAACTTATTCAGTGTTTCCAAATATGAAAAAAAATTTCCACTGTAGCATTTGTCATATACATCAAGATTTTTTTGATACTGTCTTCATAGACATGTCTTGAAATGAGATGTTCTCTTATTTGGCAGATTGAAGAACTACAGTTAGTATTTACAATTTTACTTAATAAGCACAGCAGGAGTGCTTTTCACTGCCATGAGAGGTTGGCAGTACTTTCTGAGAGTGAATTTGACCATCTGAAATCTGATATAACTCTGTATCCCCAAAGAGTTAAGAGAACAGAAAACTTAGAATGTTGGATGAACAGAGTTGCTTATACCAGAGCTAATATATTTACTGAATGACACTATATTGGTTTTGACTGATATTTTTCTTTTATATTGTCCATTTTGTCCCAAGCTGGTTAATTAAGGTTCTGGTGAGCTCTGGGAGTTTTGGAGTTCTCTCCTTTCAGGGTCAGTGCAGCTTTAATCATAGTCTGATGAATTCAGCAGGTAGTTCTTTTAATTTCCAAGAATTAGTGCTGTGATTCTTGTACCTGACCTTGTCCTGGGTGGTTAATCCAGCCTTGCCTCAGCTTACATGGGCACACTGGTTGTTTTTACTTTGCATATCATGTTGTAATCAAAAGGATGTGAGTTAAAAGACAAAGATCACTAGAAGATGGCAGGGCAGGCAAGGAAAGAAAGTTGAGAATGGAACCCGAAAGTTTAATGTAATAATTAAAAAAGCACTAAGTTCACAGTCTGTTCTCTCTATTCTGTGAGGCCAACCTCAGAGAGCTGGAAGCTGTCGACGTGCTGTCCATTGATGCGGATCTCCTTGTCAGTCCTTCTTGGACAATTTGAGTCAGCTGCAGCTGGGAGCTCAGGAATAGTCTTGTCAAAATTTTCCATCTTGATCTGATATTCACCTTTAGCATTGCGGGCTAGGACAGAGGCAAAGCGATGGTACAGCATGATCTCTGAGGGGAGGTAGGATGTTCTCCTTTGGCACATTTCTCCTGTGCCCTCCTGCACAGCTGACAGAAAGATGACCAGTTCAAAATGGTGAGCAGCTTCTCTTTGGAGGAGAGCAGCCAGGGGGCTGGAGGGAGTGACTGAATGGTAGTAGGTCAGTGGGAAGATGAAAAAAGGACACTCATCTGAAGTGACGCTGTCTAGGTGGAAGTCAACACTAGTTTGGTGCAGCTGCCCGCTCTCTTGTTCTTGGTAAAGTATAGCAGAAATCTGGACACTAGTCAGTGGGCTGGAGCGTGTGTTGGCCACCTGGAACATAAGGTATGGCTTCCCCTCGGTGTGTGTCACTACAGCAGAGCGGGTGAAGCGGATGGAGAATGCCCGATTCTTTGGTCGGGCGATCTTGGCTACGAAAGCACCTGTATCATGGAAGAGAACAAACTGAATATGAGCACAGTGCCTGCATTGGTTCCCTGCAGCTTCCAAGCTCTGAAACAGCAGCAGGCTTGGGTGGACATGGTCTTTCTAGCCTCAGCCTGCATCTTCGAAAATGTTAGGCTGGCATCATACTAACCCATTTTTGTTTAAAAAGTACAGCTTTCCTAAAATGCTGCTTTTTTTTTTTTTTTTTTTTTAAGCTATGTCTCTGCCCCCATGGTAGGGGTTTGGAACTAGGCAATCCTTTCCAACCCAAAGTGGTCTGATTCTATGATTAGTATTTGGAGAGTGAAGTGTAGCTGTAGGAAGAGAGAGCTATTAGCTTGCCCCAATTTATTCTAACTGGTAATAAACAGTACTTGATCTTGGTGTGCTTCTACTGGAGAAGCTCTTTCTTAGTACACAGTAAACTAGCCCTTGTGTTTTTAGTCTTCTGAAATACTTGAAGCCTGCAAATTATTTTACGCAACTTAAAATACCTGAAAATAGGTGTGACTTAAAAATTTTCGTTACCCAAGGAAGTTGTGAATGCTCCAACCCTGGCAGTGTTCAAGGCCAGACTGGACAGAGCCTTGGGCGACATAGTTTGATGTGTGGTGTCCCTGCTCATGGCAGGGGGCTTGGAACTAGATGATCTTAAGGTCCTTTCCAACCCGAACTATTCTATGATTCCAGTGGGTACTAACAAATTTTAAACACTGAGTTAAAGCTCAACAAAAATACTTCAGCTAGACTAAAGCAAACCTTAAAATCAAAACAAATTCCATGGAAAAAATGTTGAGAGATAATAATATAAGTGAGATTGATAAGTAGGCATCTGCTACAAGCACCATCCAGTAAGTAGTGGAACTCTCAAGTCCAGATCTTGATATTGCCTAATTTATGTCATCTTTTAATTAAAGGTGTTTAATTTTTACTACTACATAACTGAAATCTCATCATTGTTGTAGTGACCGACTTAATTGTTCTTTTCTATATCAATATGATTACTATTTATTTCTAGTTCCATTTCTTAAATCTAATTATTAGACCTATTCTATTTAAAGATTAAATATGAGGGATTACCTGTGATGAAGGCTTCCAGCATAAGCCCCAGGACCATCTGTATTGCAAGCAGTGCAATAGCACTGGGACAGTCCCCACTTGGGAACATAGTGCCGTAACCAATTGTGAGTTGCGTCTCCAGTGAGAAGGAGAAAGCAGCTGTAAAACTGGTGATGTACTTGACGCATATAGTGTGGTTGTCAGGTGGAGCGTCATGGTCCAGCTCCAGGTCCCCATTCATCTCAGCCAGTAAATACCAAAGCACTGCAAAGACTAGCCAGTGAATGACAAAAGAAGCAGAAAAGACAAGCATCATCCATCTCCAACGCATGTCCATTAATATTCCCCATGCATCTCGGAGGTATGCCAGACCTTTTCCTTGGGCACCATCCATCTGGAACGTGCTGTGTCCATCCTTGGTCACCATCCTCAGGTATCTTTGGGTCAGGAGGGGAACGCTGGATTTGGTGTTATTGCTTTCTATCATATCTGTTGTCATCTTCTAGAAAAGAGAAAAAAGGGAAAAAGTGTGATACAGTGCGGCATGTTTGTATTTTGCCTAACGCTCACAGTTTTTGACACATCAGCAGGGGTTGAAATACTGCAGCCAACAAAGGAGGGCTTATACATTGCAATCCAGAGAAGATTAAGTCAGGAGCCTGGAGAGGAATTTACCACTGTTGTGGTAATACTTTACTAAAAAAGATCAAGTTTAAAAATCTGACTACTTCTCAAATTTTTCCCTGCTTAGTTGTTTAAATATAACTTTTGTACTTTAGCTTCCTAAATTTACACTTGAGTTGCATGTTGAGTTCTTTGGGGGTGAGTGGAATGGAATTGGGCATACTGTATCTGAAAAGAAACTGAATTTTGTCTGCTTATACCAGTTTTTGTAACTTCTTTTTGGCAGAGTATAAGAAGTTTACTGATTATGAATACTATTAATAATACTATAGAAATTATGCTTATTATATTATTTCTCCAACATGTGTATGCATTTTAGTGAAATGTTGTAGTTTACCTAGTAACCCTAGTAACCCTTTCAGACTTTCCTAGGTCAGGAAATGAGTGCTGGTCTGCACCCACCATGTCCAGTTCAACAGAACTACAGTATTCAGGGCACAGCTGCTCCTGGGAGTCTGAGGCTGTTTGTGTAAGGATCAGGTAAAAAGAGGGCATGAGACCAATACAGAAAATACACTGCGACGCATTTGGAAGTCTAGTCTGCCTAAGCAGTGTGTTTTTCATTAGTGACCAAATAAGAAAATAAGACAGCAAGTATATGGGGATTAGGGGGTGAATGTGGAATTGCAGATGTGGGAAGCAAAATGATACTTTTAGGTGCTTGACATGTTAGACTTCTTGGTTTACTTCTAAACCTCAAAACTTGCCAAACTTGTCAGAGATAGAAATGTCACTGGCCACTCATATCCATAAATTTTATAAATAGTGAATGTTTAAAGCTCACCCTGGATAGATTAAAATTAAATATGGGCTTATGTAAAACAGAGACTTCGTAGTGTGTAAAACCTACCTAAAGAAGGTTGTGGTGAAGCTTGTTTGTAGAACAAAAGATTTTAAAATATATATGTAAATTCTGCAAATCATAATTATACATGGCAATTTTGTTGTTTTCCTATCAATTCTGACCTTTCTCTGAATCATGACTGTTCTAGTGTGTGTAACACAAGTGTGCAAACAGCCTAGAGGAATTGGATTCCCCCCTTCAAGAGTGACGGCTTAGTATTATCTTGTAATGCGTTAGATCTAAGGATCCTGAACTTCAGAATGAATCTGTGAAAGGTAAAAATCTTTCATGTGACCTTCAATTCTGTAAACCAGCAGTTTTCATGACTGTTAACTTGACCTTGATACCAAATTTTAGTACTAACAGAACATTCTCTTTAGCTCTTCCTGTGCTTAATGCATTCTGAAGTATGACACTTGACATCACAGTGAACATCTAGCTCAATTTTAATTTTTCTTCTGTAGGTTCTCAGAACCATCCAGCTATTTGTTCTGTCCGTACTGTAGTCAAAGGATGTAGAGTAGATGATGGCCTGAGAAGAATTTGATGGTTTTTCCCCTCATTTTTATTTTCCAATTCATGTCTTCTAGAAGGAATATTTTGAAACTGCCCTCTGTGCCAAAGAAGACAGTGGGCTTACTGAGATTCTCCTGGCCAATAGTACCAGGCTACTGGTACTATTCTGATCATAGGCCATTTAGTTTATAGCCTGACCCCCCACCTTCAGCTGAGTTTAATCTTTGTTCTGCTGTATAGCTCTGTAAATGAGAGTTTTCAGTCTTGCTGCAACGTTACAGGATTTACAATAACTTGAATACAACTTCAAATGCTTCAGGAACAAGATGGTTAGTGAATTGTCTGTAGAGCAGAGTCCTTGTGCCAAGATTTAGAAGAGCACTTCTGGATTCCTTGAGAGAACTGGAAAATGGGCATCTCTGGGAAAGATGACAGGGATGATGCTCAAAATGAGCTGTGGACTATGCCTTGATTTATTATCTTAGAATTAGCAGTATTCACAAGAGCTCCTCTATTCAAGCAGAGGGAAAAGAACACTTAGAACAAACTGCCTCTGGGTGTAAACATGTATTCTTGGGGGAAAAAAAACAAACCACCACCACCAAAACCAGCCAACAACAGTAAAACACAAAACCAAAAACCAAAACCAGTGTATTTCTGTAAATTCTCATGGTATTTTGAGGGTAGCATCTGCTTCATTGCCTCCAAGTAATTTGGGTTTGCAAGACAAACATACACTGTTAGGAATGAATCTCATGCTCGCTTATTGGTGACAGAAGCCTTTTCTTCAGTGTTACATTATGGGTAAAAGGAAAAACATACCTAATGTGGTACATCTTTCTTGGCTACACTTCAGATCTTCTACACATCAGTGCTAAGGTAGCGCACTTGAGCGCCACAGCCTTTACTCAGAGCAAAATGCTATTAGCATTGTAGGGTCTCAGTTTTGTTAAGGAGCTTTCGGGGGTGGTGAATAATCTCTTAATGTTGATTTAAAGCTCTAAAGAAATTTAGTCAGTGTTTACAGTCAGGTTATTTGGGATCTTTCTACGGGGGAGAATCCATTACTGACAGGTTTCAAAGGTACTTCAGAAAGAGAACCTCCATTAACCCCAGCAGCACACTTCACAGGAATCCTCTGTCTCTTCTCCTTGAGACCCACAGCAGGGGATTTTTGCCTGCTGAGGTTAACCAGGTTACTGCTCTGGTCTCATTTGATATATTTGATAATTTCTTGCCTAGTACTTTTTAAAATATTAAGTACCTACATTGGTGGCAGTGATTGTAGTGGAAGTGTGTAAGCTTGAGTTCCAAAGCTGTTTTTCTTGCAAAAGCTCTTGATAGTTTTAAGAGCCACAAGTCTTAACTTCTTGGGCTTGGAAAAATGGGTAAGAAACTGTGAGCAGAACAATGCAGTTGGTTTAAAATAGAGGTGAAAGAACAACTGCCCTATGACAGATGCTTTACTTGGGCTAGATGATTACTCCTCTGTATTCTCAAAGCAGAGTCAATTTAAGAGTAGATGTGACTTTGAATTTATAAGGAATTATCTTCTGTCTACTCCTTTCCTTGCCCTCTGTAGTAGAAAAATATCAACATTGCTTTTCCTTGTTAGTGATAAAGTATTGAAGTTTGGACCATCTGATTTGATGCCATGGCTGATCTGGTCCTCAATGTCCCCGCATTAATCCCAGTTTCAAACTGTATGCTTTAGAAAAGACAGTCAACTTCAAGAATTTGTATTTTTCAGTAATTGTTGGGAGGATTCCCATCTCCACTGCTAAATACATACTGTGCTTCTGATCCAGATTTATCTAATGGAAGCTCTTAACCCTTATGTTATGCTGCTTGTCTGGTTTTCCTTTTCCTGGTTCCTGACTTGTGAAACCCCTTGTAGCTTTAGGGTGTTTCTTCTCCCTCCATCTCCCAGCTTTCCTTGACTGGAAAGACAAGAACTGTTAGAAATTACTTTTCTAAACCTCCTTTGGCATGTTGACCTGTCTTTTATCATGCATTCAGTGTGTCTAATCCTTCCTGTCTACTGAAAATTAAATTACTATTATCAACTCCAGTGTGTATGTCAGTTCTTGGCTTTTATTAACTCTCTTTGCTATCATTGTCCCTCATTCTGTCTTCTCTCTTCCATACGATCTTGTAAGATAAGTCAAGGTAGGGTGAGTACTACCTGATTAATTCAAAAGCCAGGTTTCCCTTCTCGTAGCAGTCAGGCAGGTTCTAAACTGACCTGGGTTGCCTAATGATTTATGTGTAAAACCTCCTTGCCTTAAAACTCTGGGATATTGCTTACATTTCTGAAATTCATGATCTAGCACACTGATCTCCCACACTTTGCCTTTTCAATTGAGATCTTCCTGTTGTAACATCTCTTTCTTAGCTTGCTGCTTCATGCCACCATGTTGCTTTCCTTCTCTTTTCTCTTGCTTAGCCTTTCTGTTGACAGCAGAAGCTCAGCTGCTAAGACTGGTAGGGTTGCAGGAGAGCTCATTTGCAGCAGTGTTTTCATTTTCTTTTTGTTTGTCTTCCCAGTTGAAGGGCATTTTAAGTGATACCTCCATCCTGTTTTCAGCTCAGTACAATAATACACTTGCAACCTTCTTAAGAGCCTGAATGTTCAAGGGAGACCTTTGCAGTGCTGCCCAACTTATATTCTTTAATAAAATCTGTTCTAACTGACCTTGGAAGGGATTTGAGGCAGTTTGTAGTGCACTGCTTCATTATAACAGCAAATTAGTCAAGAGGACCTGCTGTTTGCTGGGAGTAACTGCAAAACTGCTTAGAACTCTAGCATAATTCAAAGATACATTAGAATCCAGGTGGTGCTCTGGGAATGTGTACATTCCCTCTTTATTTGACCTGGCTCTGCATAACTCGTTTCAGATTCAGACATGAGGTCTGTACTTTTAAGTTGTGATCTTTCATATATTGCAATTGCAAAGGCAGCAACAAACTGAGTTTATCACTTTTTAAAAGGTACTTTCATGCTATTAAAATCTCAGTACTGTTATTTTTATATTGAATGGCAATCTTTGAGATGCTCTGACATTAATGTTAGGAAACAAAGGGGTTTTTTCAGTATTGGTGACACGACTGGATCATATAACTTACATTAGGAGACAAGCTTAGAAATGTGGGAAGCAATTCAGTTGGAATAACTGCTTTAGTTGAAAGCTTATGCTACAGTTGTTAATAGGATAGTTAAAATTTCTAACATGTTTGTCCTTCAGGTTTTGTAGCTAATGCCTCATTGAGATGAATGGGAGTAGTTTGTGACAAAACTGTGTTTTCCAAGCAGTCTGCAGAATTAAGATAACAGTTTTCAGGGCTTATATATGTAATAAGTCTTACAAAAGTGGGAACTTGTTGAGCCCAAGTCAATACTTCTCTGAGGAAGTGCCACTAAGTATAGGATGCGAGAGCTTGTATTTTGACCTTCT